AATGGAAAGGTTTCCACTTAAGGAGGCTTCCAGCTGTTAGTTCTGCCAACAAAAAGCCAGCCAAAGAGCTGAAGTGCCAGCAAGAGACACTTGGCTGGAACTTTGGGGACCATTAAGAACAGGGGCTGCAGAGCAATTGCAGTGGAAGATATTAAACGAATTCATCATGTCTCCAAATAAGTGTCCTTGGTGCAGAGGTGGTGCTTTCTGTTCTTAGCCCTTTGCAGGGTAGCTTAGCTCCCACCTCCAAGGACCTGAGAAGGGTGCCATAGCCTGCGCTGGTCCCTGCACCTGAGCAGCTCATCTCAAGTTGTCAGGCCCCTTTGGGATATCAGGCAGGGTCCATCCACCTACGAGTTTGTGCTAGAGGGACAGTCCCTTGTGGTCCCATTGGCAAAGGCCAGCCAGCACAGACCAAACTCAAGAAGAAGGAGCAGAGAAAGGCTTGAGGCTCTAGAGGGGGCAGTTTCCCTCTGCAGAGCCCCAGGGTATCAGCAGGACAGAACCACTCAGCAGCCAGTTAGGGCCCTCTAGACTTTTCTTAAACACCTAAGTGGTTCCCAGACATGGCTGGGGGCACATTTTTCTTTCTGGGGTCTGAAGTGGATAAACTTGTTTAATGGTTTAGTAGTGGCAGCCTTTTTGGAAGAGTCCTGGGATGCTGCTCTGTGCCACGCCAAACTTGGCTCCATAGCTCCCTAAGACAGGTGTGTGTGTGAGGGGAGCTACTCCTATGAGCGAGCAGATGTATTGTCCCCTTCTCCCCATTTATGTCCCTGCACGTGGGCTTCATGTTGTGGGGCTCATTTTGGATCTGTGGAGGACAGATGGCTTGGGGAGAGGCAGACGCAAGGACTTCAGGCCGGGTGCCCGCTCATGACTAGGGGACTTCAGCACATGGGGACTCAGTGACCACTCATGCTCTTCACATTCAGTGCCAGAATGGGATCCCCACGTACTGCTGATAGGTAGGGCAGGGGCATGTCCCTCTGTAGCTTGGAGCCCGTAGGACTTGGGCTTCTGGGCAGTGGTCTGTGCTGGCCTCTCCCCAGCTATTCAGCCAGACCTTGCATCCAAGCCTTCTGAGTGGCAGGGTCAGACTTGAGTACACCTATAATCAGATTCTGGTTCTCAGCTCAGTAATAAGCTCACTCCATTCAGCCGGCAGTAAGAGAATACCATAGACTGGTTTCATTAGAAACAACAGAAATTTGCTTCTCATAGTTCTGGGAGCTGAGAAATCCAAGATCAAGACTGCAGCAGATTCAGTCTTTTCACTAGAACCTCCTATGGCTCTTTTGTAAAAAGTACTAATCCATTCATGAGGGCTCTGCCTTCATGAGCTAATCACCCCCAAAGGCCTCACCGCTTAATGCCTTCACATTGGTGATTAGATTTCAACATATGAATTTGGAGAGAGGTGTAAATGTTCAGTATGTAGCAGCAATTATAAGACCTTAAGCTGCTTCCTTAACCACTCTGCACCTCAGCGTCCTCATCTGTGAAATGAGAATGACAGCAGTGCTGTGCTTACATTCCAGGACAGTGAGGACTCCAGCAGTCATACACGCAGCTTAGTGTGGGGCCTGGCCCACCAGAAGCATTCAGTAATTGGTAGGCGTTATTGTTATTATTAGCAAAGGAGGACAGAGCCATCCCAAGCAAGAAGCTGAGCAAGGAGTGAGAGAGCTTGTTAACAGGTTCCTGATCCCCAGGAAGCTTTCAAGTCTCGGGCAGAAAAGCTCAGGGAAAGGATAATGTGTTTGTATTTCTAAACCACAAGCCGATCCGTATCTTTCATTTTTGGCCCTAACCTGGGCGCTCAGCCCTGGCTGCTGGTGCTCAGGTGTTACAGCAGTCCTGACAGCCTGAAGAAGGATTGGGAGAGCTGCCTTGATGCCCTGGCAGCCCGTACATTTCCCAGAGCAGGCAGGGAAATATCTGTTCTTGATGTCTTTGTCTAGGGCTCCTGCCCAATTTGTAGAATGGCAGTGCCTGGTCAGGTCCTTCAGCCAGAGACCAATGCCAGCAGCCAAGTCTCTTCAGAAGAGGGTTTCTCCACCCCGACTCCCTCCTTAGCAACCTAAAAAGGGAAGGGGCCTGAGGGAGGCTCATGTACATTGGAGAAAGCGCTGCCTTCAGACTGCTCCTGAAGTTTGCTACACTGTTATGCTGCCCTCTCCTGAGCAGGGCTGGGCTGGCCATGCCTCAGAGGAAAACAGAGAAGGAGGAGGTGACACATAGGAAGGAATCACTCAGGACCCAGCCTGTGAGCCCCAGGCATCCCAATGTGCAGGGCCTCATCAACCCCGTGCAGCAAACCACATGTAGACCAGAGGCACAGAAGCGTGGGCCCAAGAGATCCCCAACTTACATTCCATGTAGAAATTTTTCTTTGGTAAACTTAAATGATAGCCATTCTTTTTCCTTTTTTTTTTTTTTTTTTTTTCTGGGGATTGAACTCAGGTCCTTGCACTTGCCAGGCAAGTGCTTATTCTACTGAGCCATCTCCCCAACCCAGTAGCCATTCTTGATTACCTCCAGTGATAAGTACTCATCAACTCCTTGATCAGCCTCTGCCTTTTCTCAAGTCCCCAAGCCCCACTGCAGCTCCCAAGAGTGAAGGGAACCCAGGGTTCTCTAGACTGTCTCTCTCTGAGTGAGGATGGGATTTAGCTAGTAGCCATTATGGGATACCTGGATTCACATCAAGTTAAATACCAGTTCATTTCTGATAATATTGTAATATCACATTTTATTACAGTTCAATAGTTCAAAAGTACTGCTTGGAGCTATGGTTTAAGAATATAAGGCATTTATGTTAGAAAAATAATTCACATATGCACTTGTGAGCCAGCAAAAAGTAATTTAGGGTGTTGATTCTAGGTTCAACCACATAATACATTTCATTTTAACTTTGGCTTGTGGTTCATTTCAAATCTTCAGCAATCACTCTCCCTCTCCAGCCTTCAGACAGTACAACTTCTTCCTGTGGCCAGTATCAGGCCAGTACACCGATGTCCCTGCGTAACTAACCTGTGGGCAAAGTCACACAGTGTCCCCTCCTGTCACTCTCACATGGCTCCTTTAGGGAAGTCAGCAGTCAGCTTCCTGGGTGGCCACAGAAATTAGGCTTTGACCCAGAGTCAGCCTACAGTATCCAGTGAGATAAAAGAAAAAGAAAGGACTCAGGAAAGGCAGGACGCATAGGAGAGGAGATTGGAGGCTATGGGAATGCACATGTGTCATGGGAGGTGGCAGAGGGCTGTAGGTCACTGTCCTCTGGCTTCCACACCACCTTCCCATGTACACAGGGTCAGTGACACTGCCTAGCACCATCCGGGCCTTCCCTGGGAAAGCTGAGGAGATTGGGATTTGTGGTGTAGCCAGACATAGGACACAGGTGAGTATGGGGCTGGAGAGTCCCCACAGATGACCTTAGCTGTACGTGGTGCATAGCTGTAGAACTCAGAATGCAAATGATTTATCCATAAATAGCATTGATACTGCTAAAGAATCAGTGAAGAAAAATGAGTGGCAATAGTGACCTCAATTTGTAACTGAAATTTTAGGTACCCAACAAAAGTAATAAATAAATAAATAAATAAATAGATCTATCCTTGCTCTGTGACGTGGCAATCACCCAGCCGCCGCTTAAAGGCAGCCATCTGAGTTCAGATGTTACCGAATTTCCAAGCCAGAATCACCTCTGCGCTCAGGCAGCACACAGCCATATGGAGAGGCCCACACCCAGCAAGGGTCTTCTCAACCCCTTAGGGGAAGGTGGCCCCTGCCTTGTGCCCAACTCCCACAGAAACCACACTGTATCCAAAGAAGCGAGGCAACCTGTCCCAACCTACCCCAGAGGGAAGCCCCGGATGAAGTGAGGAACTAGGAATGGTCATCCTCGTTTTGGCTAGGGCAGTAATGGTAACAAATGGAAGGACACCAGGAGATTTGAGTATGGAACAGAAATTTAAGTAGAAGGCCCCTGTTTGGGCTCCACCCTCTCTATTTCAGGTGTGGTGCTCTTGGAAATTTTCGCTCTCTCAAGGTCCTCTGCCTTAGGATTCTAGGGTCAGAATGTTCTCAGGAGTGAGCAAGATGGGACACAGAATTGGGACCTTTTAAACCGTGCTCTCCTGTCTGCACCTGAAGGGTACCCCAGCCAGGCTCAGACGCCAGGGTTAGGACTCCAGCTTAGTCTGTACGGGATGCGCGGGTGGGCACCCGCCAAACCTCTCAGGTGCAGGAGAGGAGCAGGCCCCAGCGCGCGCATCTGCAAGTCAAATGAAAGAATTAATCGCGTTCAGCCCCATAATCCTGGTCGGGTTTTAGCGTCTCAGGCAGGCGGGTCGCAGCGGGGGCGCAGCCGCCGGGTCCTGGCTGGAGGTGGTAGGGGCTGGAGTCCTGCAGTCAGGCGAGGCGCTGGGCAGGGGCCAATTCTGGCCGAGAGCCCCCACCCCCGCGCCCTTTGGCGAATTTTCCCGGGCTGGCGCTAGCCGCGTCCTACCTGAGGCCACACCCTGAAATCAAACTCGCAGCCAGGTGCGCGGCGCTGCGCAAACATGCAGCGCAGCCCCTCCCGCGCCCGCCGAGGTCCCTCCTGCGGAGGGCGGGCCCGGCCGGCGGCCTCGCCAGCGCTCCCGGGCTTCCCGCGCGGCAGGTGGGTGCCCGATGGCCAGCCGAGCCTCTCGGCACGCGACCCCTTTCCTCCGGCTCTGTGTCCCCGAAGTTCAGCCGTGCGCACGGCTGGATCGAGGCCCCGGAGCGCGACGGACCTCGGCATGGGCGCCGCCGGGCGGAGGGGCACGGTGGCCGTGGCGGGCTGGGGAGGCTCCGATTCGGGCGTCCTGCGCCCACGGCCCGCCTCGGCACCGGGTCGCTCAGTCAGAGGGGAGCGCGGGGCGGTTCCCAAGCTCCTGGACTCCAGCCAGTCGCAAAATCCGTGGGGACACCCACTACATCTGTAGCAATGTATTTCTGCTGTTTCTGCCTAGGCCTGCGAAGGACCGGCCCGGGAGGCTCCTTGATCCTCCTGCTCCTCTGCGCCTAAGAGAGCTGACCGCTGACACGAGGAGGCTCGAGGAAGAGGAGGCGAAGGAAGCAGCCCAGAGGTGAGTAAGGAACCTCCAGAGCTTGCTGAGGGACACTGGGCACGCTGGTGGCCCTCCCGGGCTGGCTCACTCCCCGCACAGTGAGGCAGCCCCTTGCCCTTGCTAGGTGCTGGTCCTCAGTCCTTAGTGGGTACAGGCAAAGGCCCAATGCGGGTCAGTAGAGCCTTGTACATCCTGCTCTGGGCCTCGCCCAGCCTCTGACTGTCATCTGGGCTGAAGCCTGACTGGAGCAAAGCAGTGTCATCCGGGCCAAGCGTGCCCAGACCTGCTAACATTGCCCTGGACCTTCACACACCCAGACGGTGGCATCCACACGTGGTGTAGATGCCACTAGCAGAAGAGCTAAAACCTGGGCATGGGCTGCTTTCTCTGTATCCTGCCTTGTTCTGGTGGACTTTTCTTAGGCTTCTCTGACTCGTTTTTCTAGGTGGAGGGTGGGGCAGAGGCTCCATTCTGTGTCTGTGGTCATTTTTGTAGTTGGCACAGCATGTATTGAGATGCTGTGAGTTCTTGGGCCACATATAGAACAATTGGCCAAGAGCACGTTTGCCACTAGGAAGAGCTGAGTTTGAACCTTGACTTTGCCTTTGACTCCATAAGCAAGTTGCTTTACTTCTCTGCAAACTTTTAAATGCCATCTGTAACAAAGGATGGTGAGCCTCTTCTCACTGGGCGGCTGTGAGGAGCTGCTGTGCCACCCAGCAGCCCCAGAGGCAGCCTCAGCAGCTCTGCTTGGAAAAGGCTAAGCTACCATGGGCCCTCCTTCCTTAGAGGACTTTGGGAATGACCGGACCATTTGGTAAGATGCTGTTGGAGGGTACTAGAATGTAACAATAGGAGTGAAGTAAAGGCAGAGTCCAAGGAGGCTGAGTAGTGAGAAACCCTAATTCAGGGATCTGAGGCCCAGGGAAGGGACCATTTCTAAAATGGATTTAGAAGGGCTGGAAAGATAGCTCAGTAGAATAAGCGCCTGCCTGGCAAGTGCAGGGTCCTGAGTTCAATCCCTGGTACCACAATAAATAAATAAATAAACAAACAAACAAACAAACAAATAATGGATTTAGATTTAGTGGCAGAAACAGCAGCAGCCTGTGTACATGTCATGTATACACGTGTTCTTGAGGAGCCTGAGCACTCTGCTGCTTGCGGTGGGGAGAGTCTTTGCATGGAAGCTCTCTGTTTTGTTTCTTCTCCAAGTAGCTCTGTGACCTAGGGCTGGTCATTTGACTCTTCTCTCACTACTGGGCATGGTGGTTGACGTTAGAGCTTGTAGTTAGGGACTTTGCATTCCAACTCCACACCTACTGTCTTTGACAGTGGCTTCATCTGTAAAATGTTAGTTTCTTTGTCTGGAAAATAGAGCTTGTAATATCTACAATTAACCATTAGATGCACTAGAGGCATTAACCATTAGATGCGGCATCCGGCATGCTTGTGGTAGGCACTTTCTGTGTGTATCTTCCCTTCCTGGCTGTCTGTTGCCTGCCATCTTTAAAATAGGGCCAGTGGGCTTGGCCTACCTCACAGTGGTTTCTGAGCCTAAAGCAAGGAGGTAAACAAAAGAGAGATACAAAAAGCTAAGGGCTGTAAAAGCACAGGGCCTTCTTGTGATTAGGAGCTGTAGAGGTTCCTCCTGAGTCAGCAGCCAGGACTCTGGGCAGAGGACTTAGGCTTCTATGTGTGGAGTCTATTGGAATCTGAGGTAGGGAGCGGCGTCCCTGGCCTGCAGCCCGCTAGGGAATGTTCTGCTTCAGGTCAGCCCATGGCTGGGAAGGCTGCACTGTGCACCAGGAGAAGAAGGGGATATGGTAAGCAAGGTCAGGGGGCTGCTATGACTCAGATGCAGCACTGTCCAAGCAAACTGGAGCTGGGCCAAGAGGCAGCCTGAGTCAATATTGACCTCCTTGGCTGGCCAGCCTGGCTCTCCAGCTCCTCATTCAGCTGGAGTGTTGTCATAGCCACTGAATGAGATTGGATACTTTTAAATAACAGCCCATTATCTCCTCCTTGGGGATTCACCAAGGCCTGTGGTATGGGATGGTAACAAGGGGACCAGACATGTGGCTTGTTCCCTGCACAATGCTTTCTGCCCTGGCATAATGTCATATCTCCCTGGGTCACTCACATGGGACAGTGGAACCTCTGGGTATAACACAGCCTCTCTGAGGATTTTCCACACTTGGTACCATGTACAACATCTACAAACCTGTGGGCAATGGGGCAGTGTCCAATCTGGGGCCAAGATCTTCCCTGCAGGTGGCAGCTGCACCAAAAAGGAGGTGAGACTGCATTGCCCTGGTATATTTGGGGGGACCATGATAGGATGCTGGGTGTTGCCTCTCTTGCCCTTTGTATTGGATGTGAAGCAGATGGCAGACCTGGACCCTGGTGGGGGTCAAAGGGAAGCAGAATATGTCTCCATATAAAGATTGGCAGCCAGGGGACCAAGGGGAGAGAAGCCAGGGCCCTGGGAGGACAGGATCTCCCTGCTGAGCACATGGGAGCAGATGTGAAGGGTCCTGTCAGGAATATGCTACAGGGGAACAAAAAACTGGGGTGGGCAAAAGGCAGGGTACCACAATAGCACTTCACCCTGGACAGTGCTGGCTGGCCTGTTGTAACCCCTACCTGAAAGAAGCAAATTGATCTGCATGAGGGAGAGGGTCTTGTCTTGCTTACTGTGGGCCACAGAGCCCTGAGTAGAACAGGTATATAGTAAGTATTTTTGGGTAAAGGAATAAATAATATAATTGTTATATTCAAATGACCTCCAGGAAATAACGGTTGAGAAAAATCTTTCCAGCAAATGAGACTACTCCAGTGAAATTTAGTCCTCTGCTCACAGCAATTCTTACCAGAGGCTAGGGAGAACCATCGTTCTATAGAGAACCCATCTTGGTCGTCATCTCAGTCTGAGAAGTTTATATATGTAATCCAATGGAATTATTGGAATCCCATCCAGTTAATTCCAATTTACCACACCCAGTGCAACCTATGGTGAGAATAGAAACACTAAAGCACGTTTGTAGTTATGTGGAGCCAAGGGGTCCTAAGTCCAGCCATGATGATGGCTATCTGGAGTAAAGGCCTTGTCCCAAGGCCAGACCTGGGTTTTATTCATTCATCAAGAAAAGCATGGCTTGAGGATGAGTGACTGTAAGAATGGTAGGAAGCAGGTGAGTGCCACTTGGCAAGAGCTCTGCAGTCACATCTGCAATATGCACAGAGGAGGATATGCAGAAGGAGTAATCTGCATTACACAATTGAGATAGTATCAGAATGTTTTGGGGTACTTTACTACTGATGTATACTCTTTCAAGCCCAGGAAGTCGTCACTTCTGAGGCTCGATCCCAGCTGACAGTGTGGAGCATTGGCTTTTGATCTGGTCTTGTCCTGGCTCACACAAGGGAGCATCGGGTGGGGATTCTAGGGAAACATACCTGCTGTCGTCAGAGACTACTACCAGCACCTCAGACCAGCATGCATTGCTTAAGGCCAATTGAAGGCACAAGAAAAGCCATAGCCAGTTCTGTACATATCAGTACATGGGAATAGGGTCAGGCTCTGCCAAAAAGGAGACATTTGCTCCTCTTTCAAGGAAAGCTGCCCAGATGGTCCTTATAGAGTGTACATCCCTCCTTATGTGTGACATCCTAAGTAGGACTACAGCAGTCAAGCAATTGTGCTGCAGATCTTGGGGTGTTGGGACCTCCCTCTGAAGGGGAAAAAGCCTACCACAGGCTGCTGTAGAGCTACATAGTGGCCATAACCAAGATCCTGGTCCAAGTTCTGTAGCTTCCCTCTGTTGGGGGCTGTGATTCTAGGATAAGCCCTCCCCCAAAGTGGCATAGTTGGGTCTGAGAATGACAGGATGGAGTGGGGGGTGCTAGTGGCTGGTGGCAGCCAAGTTTAGCCTGGTGTCTGGGTCAGACTCTTCTTGCTGCTGTGAGACTTCTTGGGCAAGTCACTTAGTCTCTGTGGCCACTGGGTTCCATGTCTGCATGATAGGGACAGTAATGGTGCTCAGTTGGACTTGTGGGCAAGAGATCACTTATGTGGCATGCTCAGTCCAGTGCCTGGTACTGACACTAGGTCCTTTCTGAGGGATGATTATTAAAAATACCTAGAACTTCCCCTGAGCAAGAACATGCTAATGTACAAGCTGTCACCAGCTTCCCTGTGCCTGCAGAAGCTGGCAGATGTGAATGGGTCCAGCACCTTGTCACCAGCAGAGATGGGATAAACAGGTCCTGGGCTTCCCTTGGAGGAAGCCTTCCCCACTGTGGCTCACTGGCACCTCAAGCTGCTTGGGGACCAGGAGCTGGCCCAGGATGCAGCTGCCTCCTCGCTTCCCAGTTGCCTGGAAATGGAGGGGAATCCCACCGACCTCATTCCTAACAAGTACTTTACCAACATCCCAGAACTTACGCAGCTGGCCAGATCCTGCTGACCTTGAAAGGAGCTGTAGACAACCCCCTTCACTTTCTGGAAGCCACATTTTCTACTTGTGGGACGTTCTTGTGAATGCTTTTCGTGTGCTAAGCATTCTTTCCTTGAAATAGGTTCAGTGTGTAAAAGCAACCCAAACTCAAAGCTGGGTCCAGACGGTAAAGGGGACAACCATATAAAGCATCGTCACCCTGGGGACAAAGCAGAGCTAATGGGCTGGGAGAACAGCTGTCAGTGTTCATGGCAGTTCCCAAAGGTGGTTCCCAAAGAGAAATTCTGCAAATCCAGAGCATGTTTGGAGCACGTGCACTCCCAGAGGGCTGCCCAGAACGGCGAGGCTTATTTAAATTTCCAAGCTGTTCTGAGGAACAGCAGACTTTAGTGTGTGTAGCACTGCCCTGGCTCTGTGATGCCCCTGGTGTCACAGGCCCTGGCACATGGATGTCTTCTCCCTCCAGAGGAGAAACAGTTAAAGAGGGTGACCCATTCACCCTGCAAGTGCTTCCTCATCCCTGATGTGGGCACCAGAACAGCCAACCCTGGTTCTTCC